GAAAGAATACTTATCTGTAAACACTTATTAAGTGCTAACTACGTGCCAGATGGTGTGTTAGGGACTCACGGATGAATGGGACGTGGCTGCAGTCCTGGGACAGACAGACGCGTATACAAGTGAAAATAATAATGCAGTGTGACGTGTGGTAAGAGCTCAAGGAACACACCACTGCGGGACCGAGGAGAAACTAAGTGGCAAGAGCCATAGTTTACCCAAATCAATTCTCTTGAACATTAATTCTCTCCAGGTAAACTGTTCCAGTAGGCTGATGACATCTGGTAGAGGGGCACGTGGAGTGTCCGAGCCTGAAACTCTGGAAGTCTCAGATATGGGTATGTGACTCACGCAGTCACACAGCCTTGAGCTCAGAAGGACACTGAACTTGGTTTAATGATGATGTGCCACCTTGAAATTCTTCATATTAGTTGAACAAGGAGCACCATGTTTCCACGTACTAGATTCTGCAAATTATACAGCTGGTCCTGGCACCAAATCTCTCATGTCTGTCTTAAGGCTTTTTTTTTTTGCTTTTTTTTTTTTTTTAAAAGTCAGGCTCCTAGTACCTAACTGCCATTCAGCTCTTTGGATTCAGGCCCTGTGTGAGAAGAGAGATGAGGGGTGGCTCACAATTTCAGGGCTCTTTCATCAAACCCCAGGAAGTGTGTAGGCAGTTTGCTAAGGCGGAGACCTTCTTAGTATTAGAGCAGTTGGTGCGTGATGCTGCTTCTGAAATTATGTCTTATCTTCTATAGCAAGTCATTCAGGAAGTGATGCTGTGAGTCAGGATAGTGAGGCAGAGTAGGTGGCAGACAGAAGCCACTGGGGGAAGTCCTGCTGCTTTTTGTGCTACTGGTATTGATGAGAATTCTGAGCATGCTGAGAAACGGCATAGGGTCTGCACAGGCATTAGGTGAAGATTCTGCCACCTTCAGATGTTCCAAGTGTGATGTGAGAGAGGCAGCTGCAAAACCATAGCACGCAGTGGAAACATAGGGAGGCTGAAGATGTAGGTGCAAGTACTTATACCTTGAGCTGGGCAACCTTAATAAAATCACAAAGCCCTTCTGAGTCTCAGTTTCTTCACTCAGAGAATAGAAATAATAGCTATAAAATTACCCTGCTTACTTAGTGAGCAGCAAATTATATGATATAAGCAGAAATGCTTCATTAAACATCAAGGCAAAATACATGTGAGTTATTTCTGAGGTCCGTGATGGTAATGAGGATGAGAATCATCCTCATGATCTTCTTTATTATCATCTTAATAATTGGCACATGCCCTTGAAACCTTCCTTAGTCTATCCCTCTGATGGCCTTGGTGACACCAGGACCATACTGGAGAATGTGTAAACAGCCATTATTTATTTACTTGTAAAAAATGTATCTTATTGATCTCAGAGAGAGGAAGGGAGAGGGAAAGAGAGAGAAACATCAATGATGAGAGAGTCATTGGTCGGCTGCCTCCCGCGTGCCCCCGCCCTGGGGATCGAGCCTGCAACCTGGGCATGTACCTTGACAGAGAATTGAACCATGATCTCCTGGATTCTAGGTTGATGCTCAACCACTGAGCCATGCTGGCTGGTCTAAAGAGCCATTAGTAAGGGCTAATTCAAGTAAAGCCTTGGGGTTGTTTTAGGTACCACTTTACCTGGTGGACTTATTTTTTCTCTTGAAAACTTGTTTGTTTTAAAAAAAGAATCTCCATATCAGCCAGCCCCAATATTTATTTTTCTAGATGCTGAAAGAACTTAAATATTATATTAGTGTTGGAAGGGATCTTGGGAAAACCCAGTTTCAGAGAGAACTTGTGGCACAAAAATGTCTTGAGGACTTACCATGAAATACACTATCTAGTCTGTAACCAAGATAGTTTCCCTGCCTTTTTCTGGAATTTCATATCTGCTTAGAAAGGTAACACACACACACACACACACACACACACACACACACACACGCATTAACACAACTCTACTTTGCAATATGAGGTAGTAAATGATAAATTCAAGTGAATGGTAGAGACAGTAATTGTAGTAGGAATTCAAAGAAGGTAGAGATCACTTTGAGATATAGAGGTCAGAGAAAGCTTACTGAAGAAAGAATTTGAGGGGGACCTTAAAGAACAAGTATAATTTTACTGGGTAGAAAGGGAAAAAATGGGTCTCTCAGGTCCTTGGGTCCTGAATAAAAGCTTAGAAGCAAGAGAACATGTAATGTAGTTTAAATGAGTAGGAGAGATAAGGCTGGATATAAAGAGAGATAGGTTCGATTTTGGACAACCTTGAGTTTAATGTCTACACCACAGAGGGAAGCTATTAAAGTTTTTGAGGATGAAGATTAAAATGATATTTTAAAGTCATAGTAATATAGTGATGATGTATAGAAAAAATAAGAGATCCTGAATAATCAACTGCAACTGAAGACAAGCTGGAGAGCACCCTCATAACCAAGGAGGAAAAGTGGAGACCCCATAGAGACTGGTAGGAAGTGCAGAGGCTCGAGAGGGCTGGCTGGGCTGCCACAGGCANTCGAGAGGGCTGGCTGAGCTGCCACAGGCAGCAGCTGAAGTTCTGGAGGGAGATTTCAGCTGTGGGGGGTTCCCACTGAGGACTCTGGGGCCTAAACCCCAGGCTGGGCTTCCCAGCCCAGAGCACCAGAACTGAGGA